AGGATCATTTTCAGATTTACAGGGTTGAATAGTCTGTGGGCATGGGTGTGTCTGTGCACAGACGTGGACATGGCAAAGTGCCGAGTCACACGGGATTTGAATGTATGATTTGGATGGACCTTGTCCAGCTGCCCTCCCCTGGGTTTGGACCAACTAAATTCCTCCTAGGACGGAGCAGGGGTTCCTGCTTCTCCACCTCCTTGGGAGCACTGCGCCTTAACAGCATCTTTCATCCCTGTCAGTCTGGCTGAGAAGTCTCACTTTAGTGTTAGCTGGCACTTCCCCAGCTGAGTGAGGGCTCTCATATCTTCACATGTGTTCACCATTTGTTTCTTTTGCCCTGTCAGTTGCCTATTTCGTGGCCACTGCTCATTTTTCTTTTGGGTTGTTAATAATTTTCCTGTTCGTGAGAGCTGTCATATACTAAGCAAACAGGCCTTTTTAGGTCATACACTTCACAGACATTTTTCCCCAGGTTGGCATTTGCCTTTGATTTTTGCATGCAGGGTTCAAGATACGTAGAAATTTTCACTTTTATAGATGAAGGTAATGTAATATCATCCTTTCTCTCATGGTTTCTGGGTTTTGTATTTTATTTGAAAAAGCCTTCTTCATGCCAAGTTAAAATTTGTAACACTCATATGCTTTTTCAAATTTCTTTACTTTCCTTTTTAATTTATTTAATTAATTAATTTACTTATTTATTTTGGTTTTTTTGAGAGTCTCACTATTACTCATATGCTTTTTCAAATTTCTTTACTTTCCTTTTTAATTTATTTAATTAATTAATTTACTTATTTATTTTGGTTTTTTTGAGACAGTCTCACTATGTAGTTGAGACTGACCTGGAACTCACTAGGTAGCCCAGGCTGGTCTCGAACTCACAGCGATCCTCCTGCCTCAGCCTCCCGCGTGCTGGGATGACAGGTGTGCACCACCACGTTCCTTTTTTAAAAAAATTAATCTATCTGTGTTGTCTAAGGAATAAAAGAATCAACTTTGTCTCTTTTCCCCAGTTACTACCTGGCCAGTTGTCCCAATTATTGAATGATTCAGCTTGCTCTCGCTGGTTTGAAGTGCCACCTGGCAGTTTTATATTTGCTTCTTAGAAATTGTCATGTACATTTCTGTCCTAAAATTGGAACAATGGTGTGTTTTTTGTATCCTACTTCTGTTCAGTGTTCTGTTTTCTCCACATCGTTTTAATGTAATCAGATCATCTTCTCTCATTACCCTTCTTCTTTAGAATTTTCCTGGCAACTTACACGTGGTTCTTTTTCACTGGAAACATAAAATAGCTTATCTGTTTCACCCCAATTCCTGGAAAGCCCTAATGGATTTTTATTGGGATCATAGAAATGTATATATTAATTTAATAAAAAATATTATCTTTATATATCTTTCCATTTAATTTTGAATCTTTTTTGTTTCGGTTTAGCTTGGTTTTTTGAGACAGGCTCTCAGTATGTAATTCAGGCTGGCCTTGAACTCACTATGTAGCCCAGGGTGGCCTCACACTCACAATGATCCTCCTGCCTCAGCCTCCTGATTGTTGGTATTGTTGGTGTGCACCACCAAGCCCAGCCATATTTGAACCTTTTAAAAGTCACTTAGGATAACTTAGAAGTTTTTTTTAATTAAGTCCTTCATATTCCTTGTTAAATATTTCACCTTCTTTACATGTATTGTTCTTGATATTATAAATGGAATTTTTCCTTCCATTAAATTTGCTAATTGGTGATAGCTTGCAGATAGAATAGTTATTAATTTCTGTATTAATTTTGGAAGCTCTCTGCCTTTTCTCATTGTTTCTATTAGTCTTTGGCTAATTATTTTGGATCCACTTATTAGTTACTGATATTTTTAGAGACTAACCGGCCAAATTATGCCTTTCTCATTTCTAATCAATGCCTCCACTCTTCCTAGCAGGCCCTACAGTTGCCTGTGAGAGAAAAGGAACGTGTGACCTTTGCTCATATGGGATACGGAACAGAAGGAGAACTAAAACAAAGAGAAGGACCACCTGATCCACTTTACATGAAGCGAGTAAATGCTGGGGGTGTTGTAACTCAATCATCAAAAGAGGCTTCTTTTCACCTCTGTCATTTTAAAAGCAATCAGCTTACACTGTCTTGATGTAAGCCATTTATAGGACAGAAACTTCAAATGGTAAGTGGCAAACCCTCCATGATCTTGCTGGAGAAATAAGATAACTGAGAACTTTAAGGCAGATAGTATGACCACAGTGGACATCAAGGAAGCAATATCACCTCAGCTTATGCGAGGCTAGCACCCACCCTAAGATGAGTATGGCCTTCATTTGTTACTGTGCTCTTGGTAGCTTCTAAACTCTCACTCACAGGGTCTTGGTAGACGGCTGCTATGGGACCATCTGAGAGCCAGGCAAAGATTCCAGAGCCTCAGCTTGTGGAGCAGGTGTGGAAAAGAGCCAAGGGAAAACCCAGCCTTAAAACCTAAGACGCTGGTGGTGAACCAGAAGGTTTTCTACTTGAATCACAAACATGATTAAGAGGAGAATGGATGAAGAAAAGTGATTGTTGACTAAGAGGAAAGGAACAGCTGAAACCACAGCTGAAACAGAGCCCTCTGTTTGATGGCGGCGACTTACGTGCTCCTGCTGAACGCTCCCACCTGAGGCCAAGACACCTTAGCTGCCTTGGCAGCAACCGTAGGGCCATGCACATCTGTCGTGACCTGCCACTGAGCAGGACTGAAGGTGCTGCCGTGGTGCCCAAAAGAAGCAATAGCGGGGGACTTTGTGTTCAGGAGGTGGGAAGGTGGGAACGCTCCAGAGGGTGGGTGTGGGCGTGTTGGCGGCATAACTAGGGAGCCAAAGACCCTCAGGCTCTAGAGATTTCCCAGTAGAGTCAGTGTGATCAGGCTGAGTCTCTTGGTTCTGACTGTTGTCTTACAGAGAGAGAGACGCTGAGTCACAGGCAAAAAAGTTGCTGCAGCAGACACGCATGTATGTGTCAGCTCGTAAATATACCCTCAGATGTTGGACAGAGACCAGTGGGTTAAATTTATAGGGTCCTAGGGTGCAGGTCAAGATAGGTGAGACTCCACTGCTCGTATGCTAGGCAGGATAGTGTTCTTTGTCACTCATTTGGGATTATTTACCTTTTTTTTTTAACGAGTACAAAATTATTATTATAATTCTTATTGTACTTGAATATTTTTATTTTTACTGATTTTCCAAGCACCGTTTTTGCGCTTTTATCCTCACTGGATGAGGCAATCACTATCATTTCCCACTCTATAGATAAGCAAACTGAGTCTGAGGGAGATTTGAGAACATTTTTGGGATCAGAGTTGTAAGGTGCAGAGCTGAGATTCAAACCCTGTTCTTCTGACCACATTATGTTGAGCTCTGCTTACTTTCTGTTTCTAATTCTTCTTTTGGGGCGGTGGGGTTGAGACAGGGTCTTGCTACGTAGTTCAGGCTGGCTTGTGGACTCACTATATAGCACAGGCTGACCTCAAACTCATGGCAGTCCTCCTGCCCCAGCCTCCTGAGTTTGAGATTACTTTTTTTTAAAATAACTCAAAAACATATTTTATCCTTTTAGGTTTGCTTCATCTGTTTGCTTACTCTAAAATATTAAATGAGAACCAGAATCAAATAGAGAAAATGAGTGATCACAGATGTCCAAGCTTGAAATAATAAGAGAAAACCTAAACTTCAAGGAAATCATGGGGACCATATAGGTAGCAGGGGCACGGACAATTTAACACTTTAACTTATCACAGTTGGTATAGACTGACTGTTCACTCATTTTTTAAAAATTCAACACATACTTGCAAACTTAAACTACATTAGCGTGCAATAGAAGACATACCGAGCGCATTTCAAATAAAACACAAGCATCATTCAGAGAGGTTGCTGCAGCCTGATCTGTTTCCTGCGAAGCTAAAAGAAGCATCTTCCCCAGCTCCCAAACCTACATCTTACTTATTCTTGAGAAAGATAAAAACAGCCATGCAACTAGCTGATCGCCATGCTAATCACCCCAATAAATAACAAGCTTCTTCATTTGTGATGCCAATTGTCTTTTTTACCATGGAAAGAAATCCCTAAGCTGTTAGAGGCAAGGGAGTGTTCTAGGAGGAGGGGCAGAAAGGAAGCATTGTTACAGGAAGGGATGAGGGCACGAAAGTGGCAGGAACCAGTGAAGTAAGAGTCAGTTGAAAAAGAACTGAACTGGGGCAGAGTGAAGAGAGGTAGGGCAATGAGGCTGGGCAAAGAGGAGGCGCACTGCTTTGTGAAACACAGATCTGCAAGTCAGCCCCACCCAAAGCCCTCTGCCTGCCCAAGAGTCAAAGCCTTCTCCGGGCAAGTTTGGAACCAGTGGCGACTCAGCCAGTATGGGGACCGTCCCAGATTAGTGCACTTGAAATTGCATGTTTCACAGACTCCTTGGGATACCATGAATGCTAGAAGTTTCAAAATAGAATTTAATGATGCTTAGAAAAGAGGAGTAGGTGCTCGCTTCGGCAGCACATATACTAAAACTAGAAGAGGAGTAAGGTACAGCATTGAGGAGACCTCTTTCTTCTAAATGTGGGGACACCTGGGTTGCTGCTCTGCTGCCTTACAAAGGGACAAGATTATGTGTGGTCCCAAAGCATTTAACACCTCCTGAATCCTCCCTGAGTCACGCTTCCTTCTGCTCTAGTGGCTCTTGATGATGGAGCTCTCTCCCGCTGCCCTCTCTCCGAGCAGGTGGTTCTGGGATTCCAGCACCCAGATCCTCTGCTCCACAGGCCCTTCCAGGGTAGAAAGGCTCTCATCGCTGTGCTCAGCCTCCTGCCCATTCTCCACCACAGAACTTCTTCAGTGTCGTCCTCCTCGGAGGGCCTGTTCTCCGCCCTCGCCCTGCAGCCCTTTCACTCTGCACACACACATTTGCATGCAGGGGTCTGAGTGTCTCTGGGTGGGTGTGGGCAGCAAAAGAGCGAAGGGGAGTCGGAACACTTACCAAGTGCAAAGTGTCAGCTTTCTGAGTCTGTCTCTGTCGGCTTTTCTGGGCAGCAATGCGATTTTTCTCTCTTCTCTGAACTTTTCTCACATCATCAGATGAGTCCTGGGAAGCAGAGATGAGAATTAGGCAAGTCTATTCCTGTTCAAGCTGTCGTGGCATTTAGTGCCACTCAACCATCCACCCACCTGTCCACCTACCTATCTACCCAGCCATGCACGTACCCAGCCATCCACATACCCAGCCATCCAGGGATCCTTTCCATTTATCCATAGATTCCATTTATCCATTTATCTTTCCATGTCTTTGTCTCTTCATGTATGCATCAATCTCTTTATTTAAAGTCCTATACCCAAAGGACCACTTTTTTCCAGACCTTGTTATATATCCTCAGGCCTCTATGCCTTTTTTGGCCAAAGGCTACAGGAAGAAGAGATCTTGAGGTCTCAATAGAGCTTTTTTTTTTTTTTCAAAAATGGTAAAAGGCAGTGAAGTGCGTTTCATCTCCTCTCTTCTTCACGACTGCTCTACCCTCTCTCATTTTTTAGCCTAGAACCTCTTGCTGCTCTTTTCTGCTTTTACTTTTTTTCCCCCTTCAAAACTTTGTTAAGCACCTACTATGTGCCGGCTTCTGCTCAAGTGCTTTCAGAGGTGCTCTGGTTTAATCCCCAATTCTGTGAGGTGTGTATTATTATTTCCATTTTATTAGGAGGCGACTGGGGCTCTAAGAGTTGGCCCACGAACTCACAGTAATCTGGAAGTGCTGCACCTCTCAGGGCAGAGTGTGAAGCCTTCGAAGGACTCCCTCATCACCAGAGACATCACTGCTGTGCACCCTAGGAGGGTCTGCTACTGCATCGTCTCTGGACAGAGGGCATCAGTCCAAAGCTGCCCTTTCTTTTCCTTCATTGCCTTCACCACGCTCTGCCTGCATGACCTTCTCCAAGGCTCTGAGTGCAAAGCCCAGTACAAATGAGATGCCAAAGTGAACATTATAATGGAGTTACCTGCTGTGGTGGATTATGGATGGGGTTTGGGAGGATAAAGAGATCGATGTGTATCTTCTAACTATACCCTTAAGTGGGCATGACCTCTGCTTGGCTGGAGATTAGTGGCAGCTTTCTCTAGATGCTGTAGGTTAACATAGACATCTGGAAAAATGACTTCTGCAACTCCTGACCTGTTCCCTTGCACATTCTGCAGGCCAGAGAGGCACACCTCCTCGGGGCAAGACTCTATGGTGTGCCCAATGTGACCCATCCTTCCAGGTCATTGCAGTAACAGGGTATTGGGTTAACTGGGAAGGAAGTGCTCTTCCTCTAAGGGGTACAGGGGACTAGGTTACCATGGAAGCCATGAGTAATTTCCTTCCTAAGAAGAGTACAGTTCAGATTTCTAGGCAGTGTGAGCCACTCAGATATCATGTTGAGCAGAGGACTGGATTGTTGTCCCTCTCAAAGTCTCCACTTGGACTTTGATTAACCTGCTGTTCTTCTGTTAGTTGATTTTTGATAGATGTTATATCAGATAGTAATACACTTTTATTTTGGCTGCAATATTTTGCAAGACCCCTGATATCTGTACTAAGGAGAGAATGTAGGTTTTAAAACACAGAATTAGAGAAGAGTTTAATCCATGGATATATGCTGGCTGCAAAGGAGAGGAGGACTTCTTATAGTGAGGGAGGTCAGAAATGTGGTAAAGAGAAAGAAGGTCCCAGCTGGGCAAGGGCTGCGTGGCTATAACCTCAGCTACTTGGAAGGCTGATGCAGGAAGATTGCAAGTTCAAATCCAACCTGGGCAATTTAGCAAGACCCTATCCCAGTGGGAAAAAGAATAGGCTGGGCTGTAATTCAGTGTTAAAGCGCTTGCCTAGTATGTGGGAAGCTCCAGATTCAACTCAGAGGGAGCGGGGAGATTGATTCATTTTTTGGCAACCCTCCAGCTGAAAACTTTGGCTCAGAAGTCAATCTAGACTCCAAACACTAGTCCTGTTTTTTTCCCATTCTATAGATAAAGAACCCAAGCCTTAGGGAGATTGAGACCATTTTGGGGGTCACTGGCAAACGTTTCCAAGTCTTCAGGGCTACTTTTTATTTCCTTCCTCCTGTCCAGAAGCCACAGGGAAGGACGTGTGGGCTGCACTCCAGCATCCCTCTCTGCCCACTGGTTGTGCTAGCAACAGAGGCAGTGCCTGTACACACAGAGCCTTCCGTGCTGGCTGCCTCCTGAATGTCGGACCCTTTTCTCTCTTGCCACCTGGGCTCTTCCTGGGAAACTACACATCTAGGGCTTGGGTCACACGTGCCTGAATCTCACTAGAAAGCTCTCGTGCTCATTTGTCTACAGCCTTGGAGAACAGGATACACCTTTTCCTCTGAGTTCTTTGATATTCATCCTCCTCTTTGCTTCCTAGAAAGTTTTGTGGTGGGAACCACAGCGAGGCAGAGGCAATGGGCACCGATGATGCAGAGGAAAAAAGCTTTAGCAGACAGGTGGTGGAAGGGGGGTCGCCACTGCAATGGACGCCTGAGCTGCATTGGGGTCCAACAACTGGGTGCTCATGCCATGAGCCACGTCCTCCCTCCACAGCTCCTGGGGCAGGACCAAGAAAGCCTGACCCTGTTCCTGCCCCCGCACCCGGCAGAATCAGAGGTAGAAGAGGGGGACCGGGGACTCTACCTGCTTGCCAGGGGGAGGAGAGCGACTGAAGCTGGAGTCACTGCTGTCAGAGTTGTGAGGCATGGCTGAAGTCTTTCCGGCACGGTGCTCGCTCAAGGGACGCCTCCGGGCTCTCTCGTCACCAGCTGACCTTCTTCCCTAACTGTCCCAGGCCACCAGCCCTGCACCTTTCACTGGTGCCTCCTCTGCTTGTCCTGCGACCACCTCAGACCCCTGTGTCCTCCTCACTCTGGGGTGCAGAGGGACTGCTCCCCACAGGGACATCTCGCTTGCTTTGGGGCTTGTGCGCGCGCTCTCTCTTGTGGTTTCTGGTAATTCATGCTGGAAGTCACATGGGCGGAAACTTCAACAACTTAGAAGGTAGTTTGAGAGAAAATATATCTCTGGGAAAAGACCCACTGAATTATGTGAAAGAAAAAAAAATACACGAAACCCCAAATACCTTTCGACAGTTTGAAAGCCAGAGCAGCTCTCTTCAATGATGAAGATAAAAGAGAAAAACAGCCGGGCAGGGAAAAACCCCAGCCAGAATTAGCACGTCAGTCTTCTGTCAACATGGCAGAGAGGGGAGGACAACCGGGAAAGAGTTTCCACTGTCACACGACTAGCTTTTTGAACCAAAACAAAGCGATGAGCTTGGGATTTCTTTTTGGTTTTCCACCGAAAGCACCTGCCAGTCTTGAGTTGGGTTAGACTTTCCCCTCACTTCCAGGCCGGCCAGCCTTGGGAGGATTTGGGGACAGAGTGGCCCAAGGGCATTGTTCTTTCCTGACTGTCAAACGCAAGAGGCCAGGGACATCAGAAAGACACAGGGATGCTCTAGAGTTGATACACTGGGTGTTTACTCATTGCCTGTTCCTCTCAGCAGGCTCCTTAGAGTTTGTAGAGAAAGGATGCCTTCCTAGAGAGACTCCTTCAGAAGCCCAAGACTGGCCCTAACTCTTTACAAGTCAAGATCATCAAGTGAGAATCTAGAAAGGAAAAAGAATGAAAAACAGTGACAGAAGCATCAGAGTTTGTATCATACCGACTGTGATTTGGATTCTGGCTCTACCACTTTGCATGTCCTTGCCTTAGGCAGCTCTCACTGGAGCACTGGGACTGCATTACCTCTGTCTGCAAATAGAACATAATAACCAAGCCTGTCCGTGATCTCTCCGGGCTGTTACAAGGAATGAATACTAACAGGGATTAGGTTGCCCCTAGCAAACTCCTAGGATGCCACCAAGATGGTGGTGGATTGCTAGCCCTGCATGAGCATATTTGCAGAGTTTTTGTTAGCCAGCCAAGTCTCACCTGCGCATTTTGGCTTTTTAAAAAAGCCTTGCCAGTATGGTGCAAAGCCAAATTCTTACCTGGCTTAATTTTAGGATTGACAGGATGTTGTGGCCCCTAAAACATCTTGGTATCTTTTGTTAAATTCTGCCCTAGGAAAATAGTGTCCTCAGAAGAAATTGACCAAAGCGAACTTCCTTCCCTCCTGAAATTTGTGTTTTGTCAGATGAGGCAGGCAATAAACAAAGAAGTTAATATAGCCCAGATCAGAAGGTGACAGGTGCTATGGCTAAAAGTGAAGGTGGTTAGGGAGTGAGGGAGTTCCAGGGACCAGTGGTTGCTATTTCAGCAAGGTGATCAGGGAGACTTTGATGAAAAGGTCACATCTGAGCAGAGACCCAAAGAAAGGGTTGGGTGTCAAGGGAAGAACATCCAGCCAAGGGCATCAGCAAGCACTGGAGGGTGGCGTGGAGCGTCAAGGAACAGCACAGGGGGTCAGTGTGGTGAGGTCAGAGAGGCCGTGATGGTTGGAGACCAGGTCAACAAGGTGAGAGGAGTCCTGTAAGCCTGGAGGCCACCGGGGTTTTAGCTCTCACTTGGAAACAAACGGGGAGCCAGTGCAGGTCCTCCCTCCACCTCCGCTCTTATTCTCTACCTCATCTGCCACACACTGCCTCACAACCCTCGCCGCATCTTACTAGTTATTTACTTGTTTTCTTCCTGGTTCCTTCAGAGGATGTTAACTCTATGAATGTCTTCATTACTCTAACAGATTTCCCCGAGCATTACCATTTGCCAGGCAGTGCTCTAAGTTGGTGGTGAACCTATGGCACACGTTATTTTTCTAAGACACAAAATGTTAATGTGTGAGGGTTTGTTTATGTTTTTTTTTCTAAACGAAAACCTCAGTATTTGAGTTTAATTGCAGTGTTGGCAATTTTGTGATAAATAAGTGGGTTTTGGGTTGCAGTTTGGGCCCTCATCTCTAAAAGGTTCGCCATTGCTGCTCTAAATACTGAAGTTAGTCAGCAAAAAAAAAAAAAAAAAAAAAAAATTGTCCTATTCTCTGAATGACATGGTGTATCAGCTAGCTTACAATGACCAATGAACCAAGAAAAATCTTGATGCCTTACAACAATTTTGTTTCCAGCTCATGAGTCTGTGGGTCATCCAGAAGTTTCCAGAAGCTTCCAAAAGGGTGGGGCAGGTACTTAAGAAGAGTCTGCAATACATGTCGGAATGAATCCCCGTACAACTGTGCTTATAATTTATGGCACTTGGGACAGCCATTGTCTTATATCTTCTCTCAAGTATATCAAAAGTGCTTTAAGGACAATAATGGTCATTTTGTGTTTTATTCCACTTCAATTAACATTGGTCACCTCCTATGTAGCAGAAATCATAAATATGAATAAGACAGAGGCTCTGTTTTCTTCTTTTTCTTTCTTTCTTTCTTTCTTTCTTTCTTTCTTTCTCCTTTCCTCCCTCCCTCCCTTCTCTCTCTGTCTTTCTTTCTTTTGTTTTTTTGAGACAGGGTCTCACTATGTAGTTCAGGCTGACCTGGAACCCACTATGTAGCCCAGGCTGGTCTCATACTCACAGCAATCCTCCTGCCTCAGCCTCCTGAGTGCTGGGATTACAGGTGTGCACCACCACACCCTGTTTTCTTTAAAAAAAAAAAAAAAAGGAAAATAGTCAAGCATGCAAATAGGTTCTTATAAGTTTTATAATACACAGATGAAGTTCTTAGTTCTTTGGACATTCTTCCGTTCAATAGTCAATACTTGTTGAATGAATGATTGCTTGATTCTGTGGAGTTCAATCAATATACTTCGTTAATATTTAACAGAGACTAAAAAGGCAAGAAAGGTAACATGATCTCTTACATAGATAGATAGGTCTTATTCAATAGTGCTACTAATAAATTGTTTTTACATATTTAAGACTAAAAATTAATACACACGTGGGCATCCAGCATTAAGCTGAAGAAAGAAATTCTGAGTGGAGCGGAAGGTCCCTGTATATTCCTTCTGAGATCCATGCCCTTCTCGCCTGATGAAGCCCATTATCCAGGACATAGTCTCCATCATTTCTGTGCGTGCTTCATTTGAGCCACATGCTCTTGTCTACCCAAGCAACTAGAGCCTCATCCTGCATGGTTTTAAACTTTTAAATTGTTAATATTTTGACTTTGGTTTCCAAAAGCTGTCTAAATTATATCAGCGAGGTCTGAGATATAGGCATCCCGTGGTGGTTATTTTGGGGAACCCCATGAAGCCACAGAGGTACAGTTGTAATACATCATCCAGTTAACATCAGACCAAAGCCTAACAACACTGACAAGGCAGTATTTTCTAGATACTTCAGTCCCTTAGGCTAATAGCATAAGACCTATGTAGGGTGCTGGTACAAATTAGAGAACAGTGACAACTCTAGATGAGCAACTGCCTTCCAAGGCACATAGCCTGGCGAGCCTCCTCTTGACCTCTCAGATGGGGACCCTTGAACAGTAAACAATCTGCACAACTGTACCAGCATCCCTGCCATGTATTAAGAGTACATGAATGGATTCATTTAATTTTCACAACTGTCACAGAAATAAGTACCCTCTGCCCCATTTTATGGATATGGACTGAGGCACAAGGAGTTTAAGTAACTTTCCCAAAGTCATAAAGCTAGTTAAGTGGATATGGCAAGGCTGCCCAGACAGTTAGTGCCAGAGTCTGTGATCTACTATCTCTTGGTTTAGTCTTCCCCAGAACTCTACAGAGCAGGTATTATGTCTATTCTTCAGTTTACAGATGAGATAAGTGAGGCACAGAGATTCTGGTAACTTGTCCAAGCTCATACAGCTGGCATGTGACAGTGTCAAGATTTGTACTCAAGCAGTTCTCCATGGCCAAGATATTACCATGCACCAGCTTATGGTTAGAACAATCCCCAAGCCCACCATCTTTAAGTCTCCCGTCATTAGATTATTTTATTAGGCTTGGTACTCTTGTCAGTGCAGCAATATAATAACTTTGGTGGGACTTGGGTACAACTAAACTTTACAGAACTTCATAGAACTTGGCATAAACTTTATAGAAACCTGTACAAGAAAAAAAATAAAAGTTCAAAAGATCTCTCCACTTTGGGTTGATGACCAGTGGGGCAGTGTGGGATGGCAGGACCATATGGGCTAAAATGCTGGAATTGCCTAAAATTTTTACAAGAAGTACAGTTGGATTAGCTTGGCAATAAGAGTCTCTGTACAGTTATAGCACTTTAAGAGAAAGGCAGAGTCTCCCGTATTAGTTATTTATTTCTGCACAACAAATCACCCTAACACTTAGCAGCTTTAGACCATAAACTCTTGTTATCTCACACAGGTTTGGAAGGTTAGGAATCAAGAAAAAGCTTGGTCAGATGGCTCTGCAGTGAAGCTATCAGCGGGGACTGTCTTTCTCTCGAGACTGGACTGAAACAGCCAGTTCCAAGATGGCGCACTCACATGGCTGTTGACAAGAGGCCTCCATTCCTCCCCAGGTACATTTCTCCACAGGGTTGCCTGAGTATTGCCAGGATACGGCAGCTGGCTTCCGCACTTGCTGCTTTGTTCTAGACATCGCTAGCGAGGCACTACGTCCAGCCTACACTTGAAGGGATGGATTGAAACTCCACCTACTGAAGGGAGGAATTCTGATGAATTTGTGGACTTTTCTAAAACTGTCATACTTCCCCAACTGACTTCTAAGGGGATATTTAGCTGATGTAAGTATTATGATGTGAAACCAAGGTGGGTCAAGGGGAGCATTCGGTCCTGGCTTTGGCTTCCGGCTGGTTTTATGATGTTAGGAAAGTCTTCTTCTCTCTGCAGGCCTCTGTTTCTCCAATTTGGTGGCAGGTAATGGTGTAGAAGAAGTTAGAGTGAATCTGTTTGGTCAGAGAAAAAGAAAAAACTCTGCCTCATTATTTTATGGGGATTTTCCTTTGGCTGAGAGCGATGGACTCTGACCCAGA